TGAAACATTATTAACCTTCCTTAAAGACAAATTTGGATTGGAAATGATAAATGGTAGGAATGATCCAACAACCAAAGGGGTAACTACCATTGATGCAGTTATTGCAAGACATATTGAAAAAATAGAACTCAAACATTTCGTATCTTACTTTAGTTATCATAATCCCATTGTAAATGTTATAGATTTGGATATTTCTTCACTCGAAAATGATAATTAAAAGATGCGATCAATTGTGAATTGTAAGCATTGTTAATAAAGTTTGTCTTAAAGAAACAATATGATTTCCCTAAAAATCAATTTCTACCTCTTCCTATTTTCATTTCCACATTACGAAGTTTCACTTCTTCCGCGCGGAGGGACTCCACGCGCTATTTTTATTTTAACCGTAACATATTATATAATTTTTAAAAAAAATTGTAAATTGCATGTTTTTCTTGTTTAGTTTGATAACCTATAATTTTTCTAATTATTAAATGTAATTTAGATCTCAAATCGCTCTATTCTTGTTCTTGATGATTTAGCAACAATTTGCTGTCTAGCCACTCTAATAGCTTCTAATGCACTTAAAAAGAAGTGTTTAATAAATAATTAACGCAATTCATACATATTTAAGCCATAAATGAGCTGAGCTTTTTAAGTTATTTCCATAACCATTTTATTATAGAAATTTGAACTTATATTAAAATTACTTATACTTATTATAAATAAAATATGTTTTTTAGCATCGAATAAAGAAAACTATCTGAATAAATGACATGCAACTTAATTTACAAAGGTTTCTCAAATTAAGAAATTTAAAAAATAATTTGAGCACTGTGAAAAAAAGTATGGCCCAAACTACCAGAATATAGTAAATTTTACCTGGTTTCCGGCTCAATGGGGACACCTAAATCTCATTAATTTTTATGGAAGCGCTTTCGTAATGATTTTGGTAAAATTAACATAAATTTTGATTTTTTACCTCATAAGTGTTCCTTTGACATATGCTTGGCTGCAAATTAGTTAGAATTTGATAATATTTGGAAATTTTATGATACCGCAGAGCATGGCATAATAACCATTTATTCAGTTAAATTTGCTGTGGTTCGAGGTATTGTTTCGAGGTGATGCTACCTGTTGGAAAAGTAACAAAAATAAATGAATTCAAATTAAATTAAATGGTGTTGATATTTGTTCTTTTCTTTTAAAAATTGAACGAAATCACAGGGTTGAAGCTAAATAAATTAAAGCATCCAAGTTATTACTTTCGCGTTTTAGCGTATTGTTACTGTGTTGGTCCTGAGAATGATCCAGAACAATAATTGAGAAAACATAATTATTGGTAAACTGTTGCTAAACAAACGCAAATAAATTAAGAAATCAATGTTTTAAATACCGTGTAATTTGGTTTTACAAACCAGAATTATGTTTTTTTCATCAGAAGTGTTATTACCAAAGATTTCAGTAATTTTGCAAGATTTTTTTTTCTCCGCGAATATAATACTTCTTAAAATGCTTTTATGTCTGGTTACTTGAACCCGAAATTGTAAAATGATTAAATTTGATTTTGTAACTGATTTAGAAAAAAAAATGGACGCATTTCCTTGTTAGTCTGCAAGCTTGAATCACATTGTAAATTCTGGAGTAATGAACATGATTTTACAAGTATACTTCAGTTGAGATTATGCTAATATGCTACAACATTAACTGCGTTTCATATCATTCAACTTTTATCTTCGACGAGTAAGGCACTTTTTCTTGAATCTAATAAGCGATAAGTATTATTTGTTAAATTGTTCTTTATGTGATTTCTATGTTCGTTTTTCTCAATTATTTACTATTATTAAATTATTTTCAACAAAATTTATATCCTGTGTGTGAGGAGGGCTTAATTTAAGAGTTGCTTGAAACCTTTGACAGGTTTATCTAACCGTTGTTGAAATTTTGGGTTTACGACTACTAATATTTAACTTCGTAGCCTTGTAATTCTGAACCCATTCCAGAAGAAGGGTTCCCCATTCCCTCTCTCTCTCTCATTTTATAGTTTAGTTAATAAATCTTCCTTTTATATTATTAAACGTAATAGTAGAGTTTGATTCGAAGTCCTTTGAGTTTTATTTTAGGTATTGTATTTTATGACATATGGAGTCCGTGACAGGACTTTGAATTTCTGTTGAGATTTTAGAAAACGACTATTACTGAATCTGAGTGAAAATGGAAGTATTGAAGCAAGTGAGAACACAGCATCGTAGATTGTTTACTCAGTCATGCAATGATTTTGCAAAAATTGAGACTGAAATGAACGATGAAGAGAAACTGTTGAAATTAAGAATCATATCAGAAAAAGGTAAGCAATTACTTGTATCTGAAGAAAATGCAAGAATTGAATTGCTTTCGGAATTTCGAGATGAAAAAGAAATTAATAAAGAAATAGATGATTCCGAAGCGTATATTGATAGAATTAGAGTTTTTGATATTAAATTGGAAAATTTACTTTCTTTTATTTCTGAAAAACATAATATGTCCGTTACTAACCATTTAGTTGTTGGTCCGACAAATTTGCAGTATCCAAAGATTAAGCTTCTAGTCTTCGATGGAAATTTGAAAAACTGGCTCGGTTTTTGGTGCCAATTTGAGAAAATTGACAAAGATCCAAATTTTGGCGACCATGATAAATTTTTTTATTTATCGCAATCCATGTTAAAAGGATCACCAGCTGATGAACTTTTACGGAGTTTTCCTCCGAGTGGAGAGAGCTATAAAACTGCAATTAATCAACTTAAAACTTGGTATGGAAAGGAAGAATTGTTGATTCAAGTGTATGTGAGAGAGTTATTAGCATTAGAGTATTACAGAAACAAAGCAAATCTGAGAAATCTCTGCGTAAACTTTATGATCAACTTGAATCAAAACTTCGATCATTAGAAGTGTTAGGAGTAACAAGAGAAAAATATGCTGCAATGTTGTTTCCTCTAGTCGAGTCGTCAATTCCAGAGGAAACGAAGGCGTGGGAAAGATATCGAACAATAAATAAGCAGTCAGTTGTTCATGTTGTTCCAAATGTTGAAGGAGCTGAACCAACTATCAAGACTGACTTGGATACTTTGCTAGAGTTCTTAGAGGGAGAAGTAGAGGCTGAAGAGAGAGTGAACATGGCATCTCAATCCTTCGTGAGAGGTACAGATGATAGTGAGAAGCGAAGAATTCCTACGAACGGTAGATTCCAGTTGAAACAAAAATTTGGTAAATCAGCACAAGTACTTTCCACTTCTGAATTGCTTACATCACCACATGAAAGGAAAAAATGCCTTTTTTGTGAAAACCAGCACAATTCTTGGGATTGTGAATATGCAAAAAATAGGAGTTTAAATGATAGAGAAACTTCTGTTGCTAGATCACTTTGTTGTTTCTTATGCTTATGACCAGGCCACAGAGTAATAAATTGCAGACGGAAACCATGCTTTAATTGTGGTAAAAGGCACAACATACTTTTTTGCAGAGGAGTTGCTGCCAGTAATGAAGTTCAAAATCCAGAGAGTAAAGCAACCGAAAGTGTCGTTGGCAATTATGTTATGTATTCAAATTATGTTATGATTATGATTATGTTATGATTATGTCAAACGCATCCCTAATGGTCCATGGATGAAGGAGTTGAATGACTATGGAATATGTGTGAATGATACAGAGTACAGTTCTCTAGGAGTATCAAATGACGTCAAATTATTACTTGGAGCTGATGTGGCCGGCAAGCTTTTCACAGGCAATGTAAAATGTTTGATTGAAGGTTTTGTTGCCGTTGAGTCACATCTAGGGTGGACTCTTATGTGGAAGATACCTATAAATGATATTGCTGTGACGACAAATTCTTCTCTTTCATTGCTTTTAACTGAAGCATCTGTGAATCAACTGTGGTCATTGGATGTTTTGGGAATCACTTATCCATCTCCTAAGAAAGTGCAGGCAGAGTTGCAAAGAGCTACTCAAAAGTACTTTTTGAAAGCAATCAGACTGGATGCAGAAAACCGTTTTGTGGTTAGCATGCCTTGGCTGGAAGATCATCCTCCATTGCCAGACAACTATGACCTGGCGTATAAAAGATTGAATTCGACTGTCAACCGGCTTGAATCGCAGTCGATTTATAAAGAGTATGAGCAAGTTTTTAATGAATGGATGGAGGAAGGAATAATAGAAAAACCAAATAGCACTACCAAAATTAGACCCGTGTTTGATGCTTCAGCTAAGGTCAAATTTTTTCCAAGTTTAAATGATTGCTTAGAGAAGGGTGAAAATCTTATTGAATTGATACCAAGTATTTTGATGCGGTTTTGGACTGAGAGAATTGGTGTTGTTTCAGACATACGTAAAGCCTTCTTACAAATCGGACTTACTGAAACTGATAAGAATTACTTAAGATTTTTATGGCTTAGTGATACAGGCTTGAAGTTTTACAGGCATTGCAGGGTAGTACTTGGAGTAACCTGTAACCCATTTTTGCTGTCTTCAACTGTCAAATACCTTCTGATGAATGTTTTGAAGGAAATAAGCGAACAAAAAGCTACTTATCCTGAATATGTTGTACAAAAACTAATGAAAAGTTTTTATGTGGACAATTGTGTGACGAGTGTTAAGAATACAGGAGAATTGAATATGTTTGAAAGAGTTGCTACTGAAATAATGGCAAGTAGAAAATTCGATCTTAGAGGGTGGGAGTACACCGACTTAACCGAGGAAAATTCACAACCACCTACAAATGTTCTTGGTATGAGCTGGGATAAGAAATATGATACTCTTCAAGTGAATACAGGTTGCATTAAAGAGCTTAACATTGAGAAAGTAACGAAGATAACCATCCTGTCAGCTGCACATAGACTTTTTGACCCCTTGGGTATGATCTGTCCTGTAACGTTGATCCCAAAATTGCTTCTTCAGAGCATTTGGAAGTTGAAACTGAATTGGGATGATGATGTTGATGAAAACACCAGAAGAGAATTTTTAAAATGGATAGAAGGTGTACTGTACATTAAGAAAATTAATATTCCAAGGTATTTTGGACTAAGTGGATCCAAGAAGTGTTCCATATATTTACCTCAAGAATTGTAGACTTCGTCTGAAGATGTCGTTAATGAGGAGGAAGTGAACTGGGAGAAAAGGTGTCACAACCTCAATGATAAATTTTGAAGTGACTAAACTTTTGAGTTCTAATATTTCTGATAATCGAAAAATTGTACATACTATGGCGTAGGTGACGAGATTCCTTTTTAATTTCAAAAATGAAGAAAAAAAAAGTTCTTTTTGTAAAGGAATTAGAGGAAGCTGAGAAAACCACTGTATACTTGATACAACAGGAGTCATTTACAAGAGTTTCAGATAAAAGCCTTAAAACTCTAGATATAATTACTGATAAGAAAAGAATCTATAGATTAAATTCAACTGTATATAAGAGAGATGATTTTGAAGAGTTTAGAACACCTGCTGTTTTACCAGGAGAGCATCCTATAGTAAAACGTTTAGAACTGTCTGAACATAAGAAAAGGGGACATGCTGGTGTTTCATACATATTGAATTCTCTTAGAGAATGATTTTGGCTGCTGTGTGGTAGAGGAAAAGTAAAATCTGTATCAAGATCTTGTGTTGTATGCAAGCGTTTTTCTGCCAAACCGGTAGACCCACCAACTGCATCTTCACCAAGTGAGAGAGCTCAAGATGCAGCTATTTTCCAAGTAACGGGTGTGGACTTTGGGTAAAGTAATGGGTGTGGATCTTGTGTAGTATGCAAGCGTTTTTCTGTCAAACCTGTAGACCCACCAACTGCATCTCCACCAAGTGAGAGAGCTTAAGATGCAGAGGTTTTCCAAGTAACGGGTGTGGACTTTGCTGGTCCTGTGATTTTGAAAGACAATTCAAAGGGCTGGATATGTATTTTTACCTGTGCCGTTTATTTTACAGGGAGTGGACAAGCTGTTAAAAGGGCTTGACAAACTATATTTATAAGAACTCCATAGTGATTTAGAACTTTAATTTTTATTTCAAATTCTTGTAAAGTGTCATTTTAACATAATATATCTTTAGGCTATGTAAGTTAGCTTTGTTAATGTTGTTAACTTAGGTGGAAGGATGTGAAATATTATGTGCTTATGCGCATCGTATTTTTTGTTAAATAATTTACTTATTATATATCAGTTTGAAGATGGCAACGAGAAGAGTTTTTGTGGTTGCCATGGTAAGTTTAGAATGTAAATATTGTTTTTTTTTTGAGTAAGAGATTTGTTTTTTGTGGAACTGCGATGCTGTAATTTTATTGTTTAGTTAATAAATCTTCCTTTTATATTAAACGTAATAGTAGAGTTTTAGTTATTTGATTCGAAGTCCTTTGAGTTTTATTTGAGGTCAGTAAGTACTTTGTATTTTTTGACAGAGATAGTAGAGAGATAGTAGATATAATGTATTAATAAGCATCACATTAAAAATAAGTAAAATATCTCTAAATTTTTATGTTACCTGCGAAAATTAATAAACTAATTGCAACAAAAATATGGAACAATTTGTTGATAAGAACTGCTCGATTTTTACTTTTAATTTTTCTGAGCTTTTTTTACCCATCTTGTTTCAGCTTTTTGCTTCCAATGCGGGAACCGAAATTTCCTCGGTTTAGAATACACGCATTAAATACACATTAATGTTTTTATGTAATGTAATTTGAGTTAGTTAAGTTAGTAAGAAACTCATGCTTGTTCTTTCATGGCTGAACAACCTTTCATTTGATTCTTATAATCTAAAGCATCGAAAAAATTTTATATGGGATATCATTCGTTATTTTATTTAATGATTAAATAAACTAACCATCTCGCTTTGAAGAATCTAGTCATTATCTTATGTTAATCTACACACAGTTAAACATCCAAGAAAGGAAAAAATAGCTTAAGTCCGTTGAATTAGGAATTTATCTTTTAATTTTTATAAACCCTCAGTCCGCAACTCATATGTAGATTAAAAGAAACTCTTCAGCAAAAAATATCCTGTGCTGCTTTAACTGTTATTTTACAAAGCTTTTAAAGGTTTACTTTGAAAGTTAAGCTGCGACTGTTTATTCATGCATATACCTGCAATCAGGGAACAGTTTCGAAAGGCTGGAATTTTTTAATACTTCTTGAGATTGTATGCTGTTCACAGACTTCCTAATTAGTAAATGTCCTAAACTCGTTTAAGGGCTTGAAAGCTCTTTACTTGCTTTGTGCAAAATGGCTCTTTTTTATTTTCTTTGGTGGAATTACCACACTGAGTTACGAAACGTTGTTTAGATAGGCTTATTCGTGCATTTGGATAATTTGGAGGGATAAAAAGATTTTGAATAATAGTTAGATAATCTTTTTAGATGTTACGGTATTTCATTGGCTAATAAAAAGGCAATTTGCACCAATAAGCGAACAATGAAATTGAGACCTTCTAATGGAGTTAACTTGTTTTGATAAATGTTTTCATTTATTAGTATTAGTATTACGTCATGTGCTGATGAGCGAGAAAAATTTAGGTCTTTGACAAATAATCATGCATGAAATAAAAAAGTGAACTTACAAACTTCTAATTGGATAGTTTGGAAAATTATGAACTAGCTATGTATTGTTTACACTGTTAATTATCTAAGCAAAAATAAAACAATTACTTTTTGTATAAGAAAACATGTTTTTACAAGCTTTACTGTCATAATTTTGGGGAACTGTTGTGTTTGTTTCAGTCTACCGTGACTTTTATCCCCAATTACAACTATACAAATACAATTACAAATACAACTATTTTAGGAAAATATCCAACCTACAAGAATGTAAATCTGTGATGAATTCATAAGTGCTGTTTTATATTTTTGAATTATTTTAATGTTTTGTAAGTATTCAAGCTATACTTCTTATGCGACTTCCAACAAGGTTGCGTTAAACGTTTAACGCTAAAATTTTATTGGCCGGGAAATCACGTGGTAGGATCCAGTTTTCCCTCATTCATTTCCAAATTGTTCTGGTTCTCACTAGCATTAAAATAATAAAAGTATTGTTTTTCTATAAATATTTTTTTAGTTTGTTTTGATACACATATAATTTAATAGGGTAGTATTTTTTATTTTCAAATTTAGTGGATAACAATTGTAAAAAATGAGTGAAAACAATCCCACGGACAATGCGACGGATTTAAGGTTATGTCAAGGTACGTCTCTTGTGAATATCAATTGATTGTTAGGTTTTCTCTTCTGAAATTACATTATGACGCATTCACATACATTATTAATACAAATACATTTTCCAGGGCGAGACGATGAGGCAACCACAAGCACTTCCACTGGTTCAAGAGGTCCACGAGGGAAAAATGCACAATATTACCGTGATTACAGAGCACGGAAGCGAGCGGAGCAGGAAAAAGAGTCGTTGAATAGAACTAGTGATCCTTCTACGACTGCTGATTCTTCTACAATTAACGTCGCAGGTTGCGAAGTTTAACTTCTTCCGCGCGGAGGGACTCCACGCACTATTTTTTTGTTTTTCTTTTCCTAAAAAATTGGTTTAGTTTGTAAAAATAAAAAAAATAAAGTTCAAAAATACAATATTGAAACTTATATTAGCTCTAATCCTTATTTGATTCATTTGGAGAAATGTGCTTTCACTTAATTCCTGTAAAGTGTGATTTTTTGGAGGGAGAGCTTTGTATATTATCGGATCAGTACAAAGGGCCAAAAAAACGATCCACCCTGAATAACTTTCGATTTAATGATCGGATTTTCACATTCTAGGACTCAATCCTAAATGGCTCGAAGGGATTACCTGAAAGATGCTAATTTATAAGTGAAGAGGATATTTTAAGTTACGAAATCAGACAAAAAAGCGTACTTTCTCTGAATAAACATACCTTTTTTCAGACGGATTCGGGGTTCTGACTTAAGGGGACACTTCAGGTTCAAAATAATTTTTTTTAAATATCAACCAATTTTAATGAAAATTTCATAGATTGTTAATAAAGCATTTAGAAAGATATTCAAAAATTTGAAGCAAAAATATTAATTTGTTGAAAAGCTAAAATTTTTTAATAATTTATCCGCAAGTTAAATTACTAAATGTTCTAATATTTCAAAATGTTTCTTGCGCATGAGTTTTTATCGTAGCTGTATGAAACTCATTTATATTACAGTTTAAATAAGTATAAATAAAATTGGATATGTTTGAACAACATAGCACTCAATTTTAAACAAATAAAAAATCAAAATATCATAGTCTTTATATAATTTTTAAAAATTGAAATTTAAATAACAATTTAAAGTAATTTAAAAAATATTTAGTAAGTATTCAGCTTTTATTTATATCACATTGGTTACGGAACATTAGATCAATCATATATATGAAGAAAAAATAAAGATTTATTCAAAACTCATGCGCAAGGAACTTTTCGAATTTTGAATATTATCGTAAAAAACAACATTGAGAAAAACAGTTTAACAATAAAAACAGACAGTTTACAAAACCTTGTTAACAAATCTTGAAATGCTTATAACTTTGCAAAAAATGACAGAAATTGAAATTTTTTTTTTAAATTGTAGCTAGATATAACTATTATTTTTTTAAACAAAAATTTAAAAAAGTATAATTTGGTCGATTTTTGGGTTTTTCATCGTGAAGTGTCCCTTAAAAAATATAGGACGTAGCCGCAATCTGCGAAATATGGTCCTCATAGTTTGGTCAGGAGAGCGATCCAAAGTTTGGACAACTTAACGTAAATTTTACTTTTAAGTATTTCGCTAAATCTTGAGACTTTCCAAGATAATTTCGATGAAAAAATAAATTTTAGTAAATATTTATTATTTTTTTTATAATTTTATTTAATAATGGTTGAAAAAAAATTTGAATTGTAAGGCATACAAATTTTTGAATCATTTCAAAGTACATAATTTTACAATTCAAAATACAAAATTTGAGGAAAATCGATTGACTAGTTCGAGAGATACTGAACTTTAATATTTAAAATTTGATTTCTCAGGAGCTATTCGATCGATTCTGCTCAAATTTTCCATTTTGCCTTATAAAATTATGTTCTTTGAAATGGTGCTAAAAATTTTATACCTTACA